ATTAAAACTTACTCCTTCGCACTAAACTGCAGGGGAACCTGTTTACTGTTACGAATTAATGTGTTTTTTGATAGGAATCAATTTTCTTCTTGATAGGAATGAATTTTCTTTTTGATAGGTATCCCCGCAGAATTGGTGTTAGCAAGGGCGCATAGATGTTTGTGTTGCAACACCTTGAGATCTTCGAGAAAGTCAATTCTTGAATCGTTTTGGAGTTCACAGTCAGCTGCCATCGGAATATGTGCATGTGAAACGAACATGTTGTTACTAGATGTTGCCAGAGGGCTTCAAATCACTGCAACTTTTCACAAGGGATGTGAGTGAGGTGGGCTTGGGTGGGGTCGGGATAATCATGTTCGTTGCTTCGACCACGGGTGCTTGTTAGCTGCATACAGCTGCTTTATGCTGCTTTACTTTGGCGTTCGGTTGTCAGGTGCTCTGTTGCAAAACGTTTTGCATGGTGTCGAGACTCGGACTTGTGACTTCATTTGGTGTACCCCGCTGAAAACTAACATGGACCCATTCAGAACCACTGGTTTGTAAAGGAAAACAGCTTTCAAGGTGCCATTCTCAGGGTCCATCTTAGTTTTTGGGAGTGGAAGTGGTTGGCTTTCAGGAAATGTTTGGCTTTGGTGTGGCGGCATATGGGGGCCATCGATTTTTGTCTATGTTTGTCGTTGCTTCTTTTCCTACGGGTGGGTGGCGTGAGGTGTCCCTCCCCGAAAAGGTTTTGGGGGACTTCTTCATGGCGATCCCTTTCATTTACGAGGCACACATTGATGTTTACACCCGATTGTGCAGTCAAAGTGTTGCTTTCATCCTGAAAGTGGCCTTTTTTAACTGTAGATCACCTTTACGCTATGACTCGCTGGTCCAACTTGTTGGTTGACTTTCGTGTCTTATTGTTTCGCACTTGGAATACGCACTTCATGGAAAGCCATCAAACACGCGATGGTATTCAGTGTCCTCAAACACAAACATGTTGAAAGAAGACGTTGCAAGAAATCTGAATCTGCCTGGCCTTGCGTATGCCCCATTTTAAAAAAGGACTTTTGCCGAGTGACGAGCCTGGTGGGAGGTTGCTTTCTTTGACATGAAGTTGTCAAGGTTTTGGTGGATAGCCAGGTTGTAGAAATGAATGTTGCTCAGGATGGTCACGCTCACCCCTTTTGAGTTGCAGAGCTACAGAAAAAGTCAAGAACGAAGGCGGCGCTGGTCAGCGCTTGTTTCTTCGTGCAAGGCTATGGGACGAAACCTTGGACACTATCACACCAGAATTGAAGCGAGCAAGCATGGGCTGCTTTGGGATGTACGGGCGAAGGGAACCGGATTGAAGCGGACGAGAAGTTATGGTGTGGAACTGCTTTCCGAACCACGACTTTTCCTTGGATCTTGCCCACACAACTTTCTGCTGACAAGGCTGTGTGAATTGCACGGAAGGTGTCGAATAGTATTTAAGTTTGGTCCATAAGACATATATGCACCTTCGCTGGATGTTCTCGTATAGTTATCTCACTTTTGTTAAGCCGGGTGCATGTGTCAGGATGGCAGAAGGAAAATAGTTTGTCAGGGAAATTGTTTAAAGTGTACGTGGCACAAGTTGCTTACAAATGTATGCTTTTGGACTGCATAAAGCGTCTTCTATGTGCTAAAGAGGGCTACACCCCGTGCAGAAGCCATCCGCAAATCCACCAGCCTTGCCACTTCATGACGCAGCTTGTTCATTCACTCCTCGAACAGCGGCAACATGACGAAGGTCACACTATTCAAAACCGATGCAACACAAACTTTGAACCACCTGTGCTTGCTCTTGGGGGCGTCCCTGATTGTGATCCTGCTTTTATGGGGACCTGACCCAACTGTCAAAGTGGGTTGTTTCCAGAAACAACACGCGATGTGCACACCTGCACACACCACCCTGCATACCTGTCCACTTTGCTTGACCACAGGCTGACTACAGGCGTCTTAATTTCATCTTTTCTGTTCGTTTTAAGACCTGATGATTTCACCCGGTCCCAATTTTGTGGCCGATCCCAAAAGCAGTGACCGATCGACTGCTTCTGAAACGGCAGTGGCAGCGATGTCCGTGGCAATGGCAGTGATGTCTGTGGCAGCGGTAGTGATGTCCGTGGCAGTGGCAGTGATGATGCTTGGTTCTTCCTGCTTTCTTGGTAGTGATAACACTGATACTAACAGTGTGAACACGCTATTATTGAGGTTGTTTCATGGTCACTTGTGGCAATGTCGGGGTTAGACTAGTCAGGGTCAGATCGATAAAATGATTGCAGAGATCTCCGAGTCATCGGATTCAAATCGGCTGCCAAGCACTCCTTGCCTTCCACCGTTTCTTCACTCTCGTTTTTCTGGACACGTCGCGTCTTGTTGTTGCTGCTGATATGGACAAAATGTCGCGGCTCGGCTGTGGCTGTTGTCATTGCGTGCCATCGAAACCTGGTCTGCAATGGCTCTTGTCTTGTTGCTGATGCTTTTGTCCGTGCACCACCTCCTCCTTGTCAGTTCTTCACTGTGCTTTGTCATTGTTCACGACGTCCTGATGTTGCTTTGAAACTGCTTCCAATAGTTCCTATTGCCTTGTCCTTGTCGCTGTCACCATAACATTGCCCTTAGCGCATATTGTTACAGCTCCATTGTTTGTTTGTGCGGAGTTGGTGTTGATGTCGCTGTGACCCTCGCCGTCGTGGTCCCTGCCATCGATGTCGCTGCTGCTGCTGAATTGTGATTAAAGCTTATTGCCGCTGCTATTGCTAGCGTTGCTGCTGATGATGGTTGTTGTGATGGTGGTTTTGGCCGCTGGCCTTAGCCAGCAGCCTTAGCCTGCCGCAGGTTTTGCGATGGACCATGTGGAGTCCAGGCAACCACACACCCAGTTAAGTCATCCAGTGGAAAAAGTGGGAGTTGAAATGAGTCTAGGCATGAAATGTCATATATACGTGCCCTAGGCTTCCAAGATTCCAAGACAATTAAAAAACTGGTTGACCTGGTGCTGTAGTCTAATCCTTAATAAAACAATGGTTGTTCAGTAAAGACTACGTCTACGTACCAGATCAATGGTGCTTGGAAGCTGATCCGGTACAAGTCTATCCGTCTGACGATGATCTACGAAGGTGGTCCACTCTGACGGAAACTGCTTGCAGCTTTCCCTACAAGATCAGTGTGCTGCTTCCCGACAGTTGGTTTATGGGACGGGCTCAACAAGCATGCCTTCAAACACCTGCACTTTGGACGTGTTCTCATTTTAACTCTCGAAGGTTTCAATTTCTTATTTTGGCCAAATCAGAAATGTGCGAGTCATTACTTCTTTGGACTTTGGATTTGCCGACATGTCGTTTTGTGACTTCCTTTACAAGTCATGTCCGTCCAGCCGTAAGCCCTTTGTGCAGGGCACGTTTGGCCAAGGGATGAGCTGCTCGTCTCTCGGGTGTCTCTCGGTGAATGAACGAAGGTAACGAAGGACATGAAAGGCAGGAAAGCGAACATGAAGAAAAACGATGAAAAACGATGATCAGGTTTAAGGCCATCGCTATGAGGTAATGACATATCATCGATCCTAAGCAGCCTTTGATAAACTCGAAATCACTGACAGTGGATGTCATTACCTGTTCAGTCTTTGCTTTGACAAAGGAGATCATTGCCAAGGTTTGTTTAATCATGTTTAATCTTGTGTAACATGTCTATCTTGACCCGTTTGATACCGTCTGATTCTTCCTCAAACCTTCGCAGGCTTCCACAGTTCCAAAGGGAGTCAAGCTGTCACAGTTCCTCGTCTAGAAGATGCAGCTGTCCACGGAGGCGCTCTTCAGCAGCCAAAAGTTCTGGGGAGTACCTGGCCGAAGGCAGCTAGACGTTGTGGGTCAAGTAGAAGCTACTAGGTGGAGATCGCTATTAGGTTGGAGGCCATTGCTACTAGTAACAAGAAGCTACTAGGTACGAAAATGAGCTGAGTAGGATGAAATGAATGTTCCCTGTTGCGGCTTGAGAGAGATTCGGTGGGCCCCTCGTGGCTTTCTCTAAAAGATCATCGTGCGGTTTTGGGGGGCAGTTTGGCTCCTGTGCTCTTTCAGTCACTGAGAAAAAGAACCGCTGAGAACACACGCCTCCTAGTGAGACGATACTGCAGGAACATGGCCTTGGCGGTTAAGACCAGCATACCACCTACTTGTACTGGATGGCTTGGGAAGCATACTGACAGTCTGAGGACATCTATTCAAAATATAGTTTGTATTTCTTGGTTTCCCACCCCCTCCCTTACATTCCTTCAAAGACCGAATCATTGGGTTTAAGGCAAGAAGTACTTGACCTGAGATACAATCGAATTGGATCATTGTTTTCTTGGTGCGAGATCGCTGCCATGACGGCAGTGTCACTCCCATTGGCAAGATTAAGGAGCTTTGACCCAATTCCCCAAAATGGACCGTCTCTCCAACCGGTGCTTCTGCGAAAGAGTTCAACCCCGCAACGTCACGCGTAATGCGTAACGCGTACGCGTTGCTGTACGGCTCGTATTGGGTGCAGGACGCCCATTCTCCCGGCCCTGTGGTCTGAGGTCACTGAGACTTGCTCACCAACATGCACAATGGCGCTGAGAAGTCCAGCTTTCGGAGAGCCTGTGTCACGTCACGCTCTCCGTGCGTCCAGCCCTCACGGAGGTGGCGGGTCACCGGTCACTGAAAACACACCCACTTGGAGAGCATCGGAAAGCCCCACGCTGCAGGTGCTGCAGGATTTGATGATGTGCATCAATCAAGTACTCCAGCGAATTCACAAATTGAACTAGCCACCCCTCAAAACAAAAATACCAGATCCCCCCATGTCGGCCATGGGGTGTCTCCCGTGCTGCACATTCATTTCCTCCCACCCCGAAAAACCGCCCGTCTCAGACGTCCGAAAGCCTTGTGCCGTCCGTCCGAAAGCGAAAAACGGGGGCTGAGCTTGGCGCCTTCTCCATGCTTCTCCAAGCCTGGGTTGAAGCTACTACTAGTATGAGCAAAGAAGCTACTAGGGGCTCCTGGCATCGCTACTAGGAGCATTCGGACGCTACGAACGGGGCTCCTGGCCTTACTACTAGGAGCAAATTAGCTACTAGGAGAAGGGTCGGTTGTGGTCCAAAAAAGGCCAACCTCGTTGGAAAGGCCTCCGCTTTTCCGACCGGTTGGAAAGGTTCGGTCAGAAACATCGCTGACATGCTGACCTCCCGGTCACCAGGACAATTCCCTTTCCAATGTTCAGCCATCATTCTGCTTCGAACTGCACAGCTCCTGCCCAAATCGGTCAAAGATGTGCTTTCACTTCCCTAGGTCCGTCCCACCTGATGGTGATGTCCAGAGCTCCAATCACCAGCGAGTCGGAAGTGTTGCCTGGGAGGTGGTGAACTCCAACCATGATGTCCGATTGCTCCAGGGAGTGTAATTTGTCTCTACAGTAAACCCTAGACTCTATGCTAGACTCTAGACCTAATAAAACCTTGGAAAACCCTTCCATTGTGGTACCGGGCTCTTCAAGAAACGCCATCGAGAGGTGAAAGATACTTCCGTCGTTTCCCAGGCCAGCCACGGGCGTGGCCTGGCATCCCTGGAAGCCTTCAGGGACAAAAAAACAACACTCTTGGCTCTGGCTGCATCATGAGACAGGCATGTGACAAAGCAGGCATGTGACATGTGCGATGTTTTGGTCAGAAGAGCCCTGTATACATGGTAATAACGGCCATCGGGTTTGATCCACACCCTTCGATCCATCGCTGGTGTCTTCGCTTGGATTCTCGGAGGCACGGCCTGCTTCCTCGACGTGACAGACCGACGGCAAAACATGCGATCTCCGGAATCTGTCCCCTCGGGTGTTCGAGGGAACCAGGAACCAAACGGTTTTCTTTAAAGCTACTAACCTGCCGGTAGCTTAACTTAATAGATAGCAACCACATGTTAACCTACAAACCTGCAGTACTATGTTTCTGCGTGTTACCATACCACTCCCAAGTCTGCTGGAATCCAATCCAATCCGGTCAAGACTCTCCACCACAGTGATGAACTCATCGACCACTTGCTGAAAGAAAGCACCTACGCCACGCAACGCCCCGTAAAATTATAAGAACACATTTTAATGTTGTGGTAAACAAATTGGGGCAATTCTATATGAACAATGTTCTATCTCTGAGCTTTGTTGGACGCACACTGGATTGAAGCAGCCACCCTTAAATACATTTACTCAGGGAACAGGCGATGCGGCGATCACAGGCGCACGGGATCTCTCAACATGGCGCACGGGATCCATGGCGCTCTTCGGTTACAGCAACTTCTTGAAGTCTGTTCATGTTGTCTTCACCCTGGGGAAAGGGATCGTCCCCCCCTTGGCGCTTCCGCCCGCGCCCCTCTGGACAATTCTGGGCGCCCCAAGACCGTGACTGAGTCTCACCTTGGGTCGACGCACGCTCCTGGAGGCTCCACTTCAAGAGGTCCACCTGCTGAGCCTCTGTCAAGGCACTCATCATGGAGCGTTGCCTGGACGGGCGCGGCGCTCATCACGTCAGACGGATGACGCGGTCACCGGTGGTCGCCCCAGTGAGCGTGGTTCGCGTGGAAAACGACACAAAAAAAACCCGCATCCGCACCGGACGATGACGAAAGTTGCACTGTCACTGAGCCTCTTGTCCAGGGTCGATCCACCAGTATGAGTCAAATGGCAATATCCACAGCGATCGCCGAAGGCACCTCGACGTCGGGCCAATCGGTCGAGAGTTGGTGATCGATCAAAAGGGTTTGGGCCATCTGGTGTTGTAATTGTAGCCTCTGCAGCAAATACTATGTATCGATATAATTCATTCATTATAGTTCATTAGAATTATTACAATTATATGTTCATCATTATTCATCTATGTTGCCCCTGCAACTGTTACGTTCCCATCAAACTTGAGAGTTGAGAGACAGAAGTGACCAAACTCCCGACACTGAGAAAGATTGAAAAAGTCAACATCTGGCCCCGACCTTCAAGCAACCAGGCCCCATCTTCGAAACGCCTGCCACAAAAGTAAATGTTTGCCCAAGCATGTTCTGAACAGCTTCTTTTTTGCTTTCCTATGCACCTCCCCATCACCTGACAGACCGAAGATCTTTGCAGCAGATTCATGCATTTACCTCCCTTCCAATTTGAGGTCAGGGGGCAAAACCCTTCATAAACCGAGGCCTGCTTTGGAGGCCACAGAGATGATTGTAGCATGCTGGATCTTTTGGCGCCAAAACCGATGTCGCCGAGCTTCAGTGCCCCGCAGCAAAGCGTGCGCACTTCCGCTTGCAGGCCCAGGGATGGCCAAAGCCTCAAGGAGCGATCGGCAGCTTCACTGCCCAAACTGGAGGCCTTCCGATCGACACTCGGAACTCAGAAAGGCAGAACTCGGACGAAATCTCGGTCCTGGCAACACACTGGTGAGACCACGGGTGAACAAAAACAGACCAAAACCGACTTCATCGAGCCAGTGCAAAAAACATCAACGTCGACTAGACCCTTTTTGGGTCACATCACCGTCACATCCGGTCACCCTTTTTGGGCCAATGGAGTTTGGACGACTGTTTTGATTCGGTTGGTCGGACGATCCCACAAGGCCCGACCAAACGGCACCCATCTGACCGTTTGGAGGCATCCGTCGGAGAAGTAACGGAATTCTCAGGGAAACCAGGACAAGTAACCTGGTTGTAACCTTGTCCCTCTACATCCCAAGTGTCCATGTCCAGTGGATGTCAAGTGGATGACCTTGGACCTTTCTCTCATGAAAGCTCTGTTCGGCCAAAGTGTTTTTGATCCTCCGTTCGTCCCCCAAGCCACCGGTGAGTTCCACGGCTGAGCCACTGCCATTGACGTCAGCCGGAACGAAGCTCTGGAAGTTCTGAGCTACCTTCAAGCCAACCTCAGATCAACCCACCTCAGAACTCTTGGCTCCAATCCCAAAGGAGGCCCCTGGAACAGGGCTTGGCAAACAGCTCTGGCAAACAGCTCTGGCAAACAGCTCGCCCTTCGACGAAGCGGACTTTCGCGAGCCCTTTGAGTCGGAAGGCGAGTTCACGGTGTACAACACGGAGAAAGAGTCAGCGCCGACCACAGAGGGGATGGGATGGGACACCAGGGCACCCGAACATCTCCAAAACCACGACCCTGGACCCTCCATTCAGTGGGGGGACCTGAATCTGGAAAAGTCTGGACCTAAATCCAATTCGTTTTGAGGGACCCAAGGTCTGCTTGGAGCAGCTGGGCTACCACCTTCGATGAAGTATGAAGTCGTGCACTGGCACAAATATGCAGTATGTGCAAAATGTAGTCGGGCCTCCTTAGGGTCAACCGAGCCTAGAAAAGCATGCTGGATGCTCAACAGTAAAAGGAGACCCTTCTACCAGGTCATCTATACACACAAGCTACATGGGCAACAAAACTGTTCTTGTGCGCATGTGTTAAGCGAATGTGAATCCCGCAGCCGCAGTATGCCAAATATCCAATTCAAAAGCACATCTACCATCTCCTCTCTCCCCTTCTGTCTCACAACGTCTCAACCAATAGGCTTTGCCAAGGGCCTCAAACAAAACGAATCCGCCGGCCTGCCGGCGTGTTTTGTGGATTGTCTTGGTTAGTATAGCTTGTCTTGGTTTCAGCTTAAGGTTTGTCTCTCCGCGCGGATTTTTCGACAGCCTGACGCCCCCCCCACCCGCCTTACTTTTAGTAAAGAAAATCATCTTCCCAACTCATTTTTCTTCTTTTAATGTTGAGGTGCTCGTACTTTTAGTAAAGAAAATCATCTTCCCAACTCATTTTTCTTCTTTTCATGTTGAGGTGCTCGTACTTTTAGTAAAGAAAATCATCTTCCCAACTCATTTTTCGTCTTTTAATGTTGAGGCGCTCCTACCCCCCTCTCGCCTTGTCTTGTCTTGTCGCCTTGTCTCGTCTCTTGTCTTCGCTTCTCTTCTCTTTTCGTTCTCGTTCTCCTTCTCTTCTCTTCCCCCTCTTCGTCTTTTTCAAGCAGGCCATGCATTGGCGCACAGTCGCGCGTGTAGAAAAACGTATAAAAACCTTGGTTTTTCCACGCGTTTTGCGGGAACTCGCTGCCAATTGGGTTCTATATCGCTTACACTGTCACGGCGTTATTCTAGGCAATGGCTCTTACACAACTTCGTTCTGACACCGCAACCTGTGCACCTTCCAAGTCAAGTCGCGCACAAGCCCCTTGCAACCATTTCCTCGCTACTTTTTTTCGCTTACATGTCGCTTTTGCAGAAGCTCTGTGTTACACACGCGCTCTCTGCAAGTACTGTTCGCTGCCCACTCGCTTTTACACCAGCGCAGCTTTTGTTTTTGGCCAGTTGCTCTCCACTTACATGGCTCTTACACTACTTCGTTTTGACGCCGCACCTCATTGACACAAACATCTCCAGCCAGCGTGCATGTTCCAAGTCATGTCGCGCACAAACCCCTTGTTTTCACGCACTTTGATATCGTACACTCTGTTAGCTAACCTTTGCATAACCTGCACACAAAAAAACACAATAGCTACACACAGCTACACACGCCCGGGCCATGGCGACTAGCCGTGCGGGCTCGAGCTGATGGCCGGCGGCATGCCGAAGGCTGTAAATAAACTGCTGATCAAGCACACATGTTTGATGATCTGCTTTCTTCAACTGTGTGTCTGGCACAAGTTGCCCAAACATGTTTTCCTCTTCCGAATAGACTTTTTCAGAGTTCAGATTCTCTACGCCAACAAGCCGGTGTGGCTATTGGATACAAGGTATCGTTTTGTGGGCCTCCTAATAGCGAAATTCCAATTGGCTGGCACAGACTGCACCAAACATACCAAACTGCCAAAGAGTTGTGTGGGTGTGTGCGCGTGTCATTATGTTCTGTTTGTGCTTTCCAGAACTTCCTCAAAGGAGGACTTTCATGCGTTGATCCTCTTCCGCCCAGGCAGTCATCGTATTTCTGCCGGAGGCCCCACCAAGTGAGGAAACTGCCCTTACAGTTTGGGTGGCCTTTTGTACAGTGAAGTGCTTTGGGTGGCCTGTACCACGAGAAAAGGTGGACATTGAAGTGGAACATTGATGCCGGACTCAACATAAACAGCTTTGCGTCTCATGAAGAAAGAGAAAGTACGGTCTTTCATGTGAAACGAGCTGATTTCCATCTGGCTGAATGTATCGCTGGCTCGCTCGCTTGCTCTGCCACAGCCGTGTGCGAAGTCAGTTGAAGAACCAACTATATAAGACTTAAAAAATGTATAAATATATATCGAGGGAGTGTGAGTGTGAGTGAGAGTGGGAGAGTGAGTGTGAGTGCGAGTGTGAGTGAGAGTGAGTGTGGATGAGAGTGAGAGTGAGTGCGGGTGAGAGTGAGTGTAAGTGAGCGTGAGTGAGAGTGAAGGTGGGTGTTAGTGAGTGTGGGTGAGAGTCAGTGTGAGTGTGAGTGAGAGTGGGAGAGTGAGTGTGAGTGCGAGTGTGAGTGAGAGTGAGTGCATGTGCGTGAGAGTGAGGGTGTGAGGGAGACTGAGTGAGTGCGAGTGTGAGTGAGAGTGAGTGTGAGTGAGAGTGAGTGTGGGTGAGAGTGAGTGTGAGTGAGGGTGAAAGTGACTGTCAGTGAGACTGAAGGTGGGTGAGTGAGTGAGAGTGAGAGTGAGAGTGAGAGTGAGAGTGAGAGTGAGAGTGAGAGTGAGAGTGAGAGTGAGAGTGAGGGTGAGGGTGAGAGTGAGAGTGAGAGTGAGAGTGAGAGTGAGAGTGAGAGTGAGAGTGAG